CTAGGCGATGCGAATGTGTGGGGCAGTGTAAATATTTTCTGTAGTTCAGCTGCGACTGATGCTCTTTTTCTGTGCTTTTTCATTTTTACAGTGGTGCTTGAGCATCTATAATTTTCCCCCTTAGCTTAATTACCTCCCTGAAGCTATGCATCATCTTGCCCATTAACAACCATTGTTAAACTATTGTATGTGGCATTGTTGATGCAAAATGACCTTAGAGTATATGCTAAAGCTCCTGCAGGATCACTGGCTGAATGTGACAACCAGTTCATCATTTATAGGACCCGAAGTATTGACATTTTCAATATATCTGTTCACACAGTGCTTCATTGGAGTCATGCAAGCTTAAAATATGGTGCTACCACAGAGAAATTTTTCTTCCTGTGCTGTGACCAACGGGAAAACTATGTAGACAATAATGAAAAGAGATCACAACTAGGCTTAGCTGTGTGATGTCTGCCTCAGTAAAGATGTAATAAATTAATGCAAGTGTGCTTATATCACCATGGTGTTGCCAGTTTATTACTACATTTGATATGAATCTCTGCTCGCTCCACCATGGTGTTCCTAAGGGTGTACACAGTCTTACCTCTGAGACAGCATTGCCAGAACTAATTTCACTGTCACAATCTTGAACAGGTGTGCAACAAGCATGCGCCAGTGCAGAGAACACAAGAGAAGTGGTCACTGCTTGCATGTTCAAGGTCGTATGCACGCACACCGGACTATGATTTTGCAGTGTCTTACATTTTGAGTGGAGTATACATCGTGATGGCGGGAGCCATCTCTGTGGTCACCAGCTAGACTGTCACAATGTGCATATTGTTGCTTCAGACAACTGTTTAGGACAAAAAAAGGGCACTGTATAAAAAATATTTTTAGGCTAATGTAAGGGCTTGTGGTGAGGAGACTCTCAAAAGGTATATGTTGTCATCTTGCAATAGAGAAGCAACATGTATACCTAGTTTATGTTAGTAGGAGTCTGCTAAACATTGGCCATACAAGCTTGTGGCTAGAGAAGGATGATGTCCAGGAGATACCCTCCTGAAATGTTAACCTGCACCGTCCTCCCTTGCCCTTCTTGGTGCACTGGAATTTTTGCCCTATAGGTACTAATTCCTTCAGTGGGTACTCTTGAAGGGCTTCTGAATAAGCTCATTCATACCACCTGCTTTACCCAAGGGCAAATCCTACTGTTGGCACTTGTTTGCTCGGCAGAAATTTTTAACAGGAAAAGAAGCTTCACTCGTTACACAAATAAAGCTACAGCATTGCAAGATTACTATGATGTTATGTACACAGACCTCCCACATACAACTCACTAAAATGTCACCAATTACCTCTATGGTGAGCCTGACTATGCCTTAAGACAGCATGTAAGTTTCTTGATCCTATACTTTTTAATCAGTACATAAACCTTGAAAAAACAAGATCATCACGTGCAGTCCGTAAAACCAGTGCTTATGAACTGCAATGATGCCATCGAAAGCATCAGCGAAAGTAAATTCACCCTGCTGGAAAGCAAATTCTGCATGAAGCCTGTAAATGTACTGTTAACAAAGTCTTCTCGACAACTTCATTATGTCTATTTCTGCAATTTGCATAATCCTGTTTCATACATACCTTGCTGTTCACCCTATAATTATTGACTTCTGAGTGTTACTCAAGTGACCATGCTCATTTAATATACCTGCAAGCCACAGTGCTAACCTAATGAAATTGGAGACTTTAATAAAGTAATGCTCTCTAATGCTCACCCCTTCAAAAAAAGTTTTAGCATCCCCTGAAAACCCATTCTTTAAAAATTTGATCATCAGAGATGCGATGTATCTCCACACCTGATGACAGACATTTGTCCAATCACAGCCACATTATAACAACAAGCAGCCTTTGTAAGATGCGTGAACACGTGCTATCACCTCAGGTCAACATGTTTCCTGAAACCAGCTTGCTGTTAGTTGTGCGACAGAATGGTTTTCATAAATCATTTTCTTGTTAAGCTCAACTTGCCCCATGACAAACTGTGTGTTTAATTTTAGACCATTCTTGGGGAGCTATTTTTCTTGATAACTAAAGAAAGCCCGATAAAGTGAAGCATGAGCTTTTAAAAGGAAATTTGCAAAACATACACAATCATCTCCAATACCTAGCCTGAGTATATATTTCACTAATAATGATCATTTTCATTTTAGAGCACATATCTGATGGCACAAAATCTGGAGTACCAAGGAGTCTGTCACAGGTATTTTTCACTTCTTTATTGGGGGCCATGCAACAATTTTAAATTATTCATGCGATATACTAGAAGTTTACTGCAGTGTGAATAACTTGCCACAATTAAAAAAAATAATTATGGGGGAACATATGGACTATTTACAAAGGTTGAAGTTGGTGCTGATGCTGTCTGTCGCATGACCAGTAATGAGACAAAACACGGCGCATCGCATTAGGACTAATAGCAGTGCTACGCTTCCATTTCACACACACACACGCACGCATAATGTATGCTTTACTGCAATACACTGCAAGCACTTCACCCCATGACAGTGCTGTATTGCGGCAATGTTAACTTTTAAAAAGACCTTTACGGGTTAGCAATTGAAGCTCGACAATGCTCCCAGCAATAAAATTTCTATTTTATTACATTTTTTTTAAATTTTTATACACTTGCCTAAACTGGTGTTACCAGCCGTCCCGAATTTTGCTCGACTGTCCAAGTCTTTGCCCGCGCTGTCCCAGTCGGGACAGATGTCCCCGATTTTTTCCGGACTGTTCAGTAAACGAAAAAAAAAGAAACGTTTTGTGTTATAAAAGGCATGCCAAATAACGTGCGTCCAACTGAGCACATAGACAAAGAAACGTTGCTGTGGTTAGCTGCAAAGAACTTTAAACACTTCAGCTGAACTTTAGCGTCAACATTTACTAGAGCATTCTAGAGCGAGAGGAAGTGTCACGAAGAACACATAGCAAAATTTAGTGCCACATCAAGAGACCGACGCAATGAAGAGAAGAAATAACGGATTTGTTTGGAAGGCACCGCAACAAAGAAAACTAATTTCCTCACCCACACACAACTACCTTCACTGTTGGTTACCCCAATCTAAACACACTCTGCTAAGCAAACAAATTGTCATCATCTGCGACTGCTTAATAAAGCCACTCGGACAAGAACAATCTCTAATTCCAACTTGTGTATTCCGTACCTATCTCGCGCACTTACGCAAGAACAAGCTTCAACGAAAGCGTTGGCGCAGTATATACTTCCTCCCAAGTGACACCAGCTGTATGATCGGTCCTCAAGCAACACGCATGAACCTACCACACATCCGCGTAATACATGCGTCAGACCAACATTCACAAATCGCGATTCCAAAGGCCTTTATTTTATGCTCGTTATCATTGCTTGTAGATTTGGTGGCAAACACTTCGGGGTGGTAGGTGTTCTGTGCTTCGGGCGAATGACGTTAACTACTCGATAAACACGGATAAGAAGCCCCTGAACACGGTGACATCACAGGAATTAAGAAAAGCGGCAGCGACTTGCGTATGAATCACTTTCTAACAACAGAAAGCGACCACGACCCCACGGGCAGAGGCGGTTCTCGCCATTTCAAACAGATTACAGTCCAATCCAACACCGACATCGGAGAAAAAAACAACACGACTAGAATACGATGAACCCGCCACAGACTGTGTGTCACAAGCTAGTGAGGAACTCTACCTGAACCACAGAATAAAGAACGCCCAAATCGCCTGAAAAATGTTTTCCAACACACCGATTCTAGCGCTATCTACTCATACATTTTAAGCCAAGTCAAGCCGGTTTTAAGCGGCTATTGGGTGAACCGAACGCTTTTGCTACAGTGTACTAGACTGTACTTTTGCCTCGAAAAGGTTCGTGCCACCGGGGGAACCGAAACACTTCCAAACTCAGCCTTCGCAGCCTGTGTGAGACGCTTAATAAAAAAAATTACAACCGCTCATCAATGCAGTAGATAGAAGTAGTTACGGGTGCCATTTAGCCGTTTAATTTTTGACGCAGACTAGGGCCGCTGTGAAGCGTAAGTGAATTCATTGCACATCAGTAGTTTTCATTTTTGTGGTGGTGGTGGTGGCAAAAACATTTTATTGAGCAGCCAAGGGGGCTGGAAAGGGACGTCAGCCTCCTACTTCCAGGAGGCCGCGATCCTGCGCCGAATGCAGGGCTCGTTGCATCAGGGCGATTTGATGCTCCGTCGCCGAGCTGGTCAGCGCAGACTCCCACTGCTCAAGGTCACGCATTTTTAAAAAAAGATAAGCCGTCTTGTTTTATTTCTGGAAAGCTTGTATTTGTTATTTTAGTACGTGAAAGAGCGCGTGATACAAAGAAAGAGCGCAGTGCCACTTTTTTTTGTGTGTACCAAAGATATCAATTTTTTTTTTGTTCGCATTCATTTAAGAGAAAAATTGTTAAGTGGAGTGTAATCTTTCACGGCGCGCAGGTGTTTTACAAAGCGTTGTCACAATCCAGTGTTGGGTAAGACAAACTTCCTGCAATGCTTACCGTTGAAGTTGCCTGGCTGGAACTGGGTCAATTTTTATTATGAGGTTTAACGCGTCGACGCTACATAGGCGATGAGGCACAGCGTAGTAGAGGGTGCCGGATTAATTGTGACCACCTGGTTATGGGCGCCGGCAGGATTTTACCTTGAGGGGGCAAATCTATTGTTGCGCGAAGGAAAAGGGAGAGGGCATGGGGTAAAGTGTTAAAATGATTTGGGGGGGGTAGGGGGGAGCAAGTGCCTTTTTTTGCACACCCTCCCCTCGGCGCCCATACGCCTGGGGATTTTTAACGAGCGCCGAAATCTGGAAGACACGGGCCGCTTTCGCCTCCAGCAGAAAAGCGGCCGCGAGTCAAACCCGCGTCCTTGAACTCAGCAGAAAATTTTTACCGCGGTTGCCCTAAACATTGGAGGCTAATGCACCGAAGCTACATCTCGAAAAGAGGACAAACAAACTCATTCCAGGATGCATGATACTTTATTTACAGCAAGAAAAAAAAGGACGGTTTGCAGCATGTTTTTCTTCATTGCACAATTCTGTTCACGGAGCACATTGCAGAGTAGTGACTTACATACAAGTTTATACATAAGACTTCATTTACAGAAACAACCCAAAAACAGAGGCACATAGTATGCACCATGTTTTTGATGCGTTGCACAAGTTTACACGCGCAGCACTTTCAGGTACAGTGGCTTACATGCAAGCTTTTTTCCGGTAAGCTGCCCTGTCTGTCACAGCCGCACCGACATTGGACAAGAGTGGCTTAATAAACTTGTCGAAGACCACTGACATTGTGCTCGCACCATGCTCATCTCTTGCCGGGCATACAAAAAGGGGGCACTATTCAAGGTGAGGCAAAATCAGTTCAGCCAGTTGCTGACGTACATTGCTCTTTTTTATGTGTGGCAGGGCAATGTCAACAGCCTTCTTAATGGTCACAAGTACCATGACAAATTCAGGCTTTGGGAAAGTTAGGCCACCCCTTGACTTCAGGCTAATTAGCCCCATTAGCACAGGACTGGATCCATCTGATTGATGGAGGGAAGGGCAGAAGGTACATGTTCTCCGCTCCTCGACTGCTTTTGCCACAAACCCGGCTATGTAAGCAATGCTAGCATTCACTATGGTTGACGGTGGGCGCTGCACTGAAAAAGAAAATAAGCAGATATAAAAAGAAACACCAGAATAAAAAGTATCCAGTGAGAGCATAAAAATTGTGTTTGGCAGTAATGTAAACAGAGCAAATTTTAGACAGCCCATAAAGACAGATCTTGTGTGTAATGCAAATGCATCACTGTTTCCACCCAGCCCTCATCAACATAAATTTTGTTGCGTTTCTAACAATCAGCAGATAACCTTCAGATAAAGCAAGTGAAGATGGTGGCTTTTTGTTTTATCTTACATTTAATAATACTCCAATGAGCCTCTACTCATCTACTTACGAGGCAGTGCTTTCAGTGGTGTAAACAGCCCGTCGATTTCCATCACAACGTCTTCAGGTACAGTGCAACTAAAAAAGATGTGCAAAACATGTATTAGAAAAAAGGCTGCTGGCTGGAAAAGAAGAACAGCCAGGCAAGCAAGCATTAAGTCTTGAAAAACATTTGATGCGGCATACCTGGCTAGGGCAACTTGAGGTGTCTCAGTCGAAACAAGTGTGGCAGCTTGTGCTGTTGCTTCAGCTGGAACATCCAGTACAGGGGACGTCACGCTCATGGAAGCGCCATGCATGCTGCAAAACACACGTAAAATAAACGCAATCACTTGTGAACAGCAGTCCTCTATACTCCTGAAACATTGTCTATATGAGCAGATGACATTGAGTGCTCACGTGGCTCAAACACAACAATCTCAATCAGTAGGCAGGCTACAACAGTAGTAGCTGCACACAACGCGTGCTATGCGTTGTGTGAGGCCATGAAAAATTATGGGGGTCCTGTTAAAAGCAAAGGCAACCTGCCCAACCATGAGCACTTGCCCTAAAGCATCAGATCACGTGTACCTACCTCAAGACAGCCTGCCCGTTCTCGACGTTTGAAGACTGGGATGGGCAGAGGTCGCCAGTCCTCAAGATCCTCTCCAGGCTGAACGTCATGGCTCTTGCATCCAGGCAGTCATTGCCACCGGCCATTTGCCGTAGAGAACTGAAGAGGAGTTCCACAGGGTCGCTTGAGAGGTTCCTCGTCAAAGCATAAAAGAAACCGCTCTCGAGAAGGAACTTTACACACAAAACCGTAGACTTGCTCGTCAGCAAAATAGCTTCATAAGTCTCTGCGCTTATAAACTTCTTCCCACTCCTTTTACAGGCATTGTTGAGAGCCTCGAGGTAGTCTGGAAAGTCCTTTTCCAACCACTGTAGGCGTTGGTCAGTCGTGCAAAAGAAGTGCATCTGGTCAGGCTGTCTCATGTGCACATGCGCAGTTCGGTTTGCTACATTGTGGATGGCGAACCACTTTTGCATCATCTTCATGAACAAGATTGTCGCCTCTGCATTTCTGAACTTCTCTGCCTGAGGGTGGCGACTCGGGTATTCCTTCAAAAAGGAAAGTGCCGAGATGACATCGTCTGAAAACAGCTGCACTGCTCTGCCTACGTGCATCTTCTCAAAGTTCATTGGTTCTACGTGCTTCTGCGTGAGGAAGCGAACTGGTTTGACAACCTCGTTCTTTTGTAGCTCATACAGCTGCTTGACAAACTGTCCCGTTATTGGTTGGCTTCCGTCTGTCATCTCCCCCTCAAGCAGAAGGCTTCGCACATTTTTTATAATATGGCACTGGTCAAATGACAGAAATAAGCTTCTTTCTGGGTCACATGGATGAGTGACAACAGGCTTGAGTGAGCCGTTCCCCAGGTGACGCATCATCGTAACATTAATTTTGTGGTTATCTGTGACAATCCGGAGCACACACATACCACACTTTTCAACTTCAGAGATTACCTCTTTTGTAAGATGGTACAAAAGCTTGCCACTTAGACGGTTCATGAAGAAGAAGCCGCAAGGTATCCTGTATGCTGTGGACAATCCTGTAGCAACAAAACATAGCACCTTGTTGGCAAGCATGATGTTGCTGGTGTTCTCTGCTGCTCCACTGTTTTCTTTCGCCGTTTGTTGCCCGAAAAAGCAATCCATTTTGCGATCATATATGTATTTGGAGCTGATGGACATCTCATCTACAATAATTGAGCAAAGCCGGGCTTGCTCTTTCAGGTTGCCCACCTCTTGCCTTAAGCGTTCCTTCATTAGTGGTGTGACCCCACTTTCACCGTTCGACTTCCCGACATAGCGAAGGAGGGTGTTTTTCGACGGCAGTTTAAGCAAGCCTCGGTTGCGTATGTAACGGTACGCCTTGGGGGACAAGTAGTACAATAGTACACATTCCCGCACAAAGTCTGGCGACCATGCGGGTCGTTGCCTTGTTGCATTGGTGATCTGCTCCACTAAGCAATCTTCTAGGCAGAACTGGGCCGTGCCAACCTTCTCCAAGCATTTTCTGATTGCCGAGTGGACGGTGTTGTTCTCATAACCACTGAGCTTCTTTTTTAGGCGGCTGTTTTCTCGCTGCAGTCTCCTTACAGTATCTGCTTTTCTAAACAATTGCACCCTCATTCTGTTGATTACCCTTGCATCTGACTGCCTGCGTGGAAGGAATTCATCACAAGTTTGCGCTGAACATTCAACTGAGTTAGTAGGCCGCTGCAGTTCACCAACTGCATCTTGTGCACTTGTTTTCGCCCCTATAGCCACCTGATCCTCCTTGGGGCTAAATATTGACACATGGCTTACAGAAGTCTGCGGCAGATGGCCTCCGTCATGGCCCGCACCTTGAAAACTCGCCTCTGTATTTTCTTCAGGGACTGATGGCAACAAGCCATCAGAATTTGACGAATGGCCTGGGGTGGTTGCACTGTCACAGGCTGAACCAGTCATTTTGGCATGGCAACTTGATAAACTTGATGCCTTTTTTTTTGTCTGAAGGGAAGTCCTGTACCTTTCGCTCCAATTTACGCCGTTTTGGTGGTTTTTGCGGGTGCATGTAGGTTGGGTATCCTGAAAATACGCTCGGAACAGCATCCCGTTTGAGGCGGTGAAGCTTTGTGGACCCCAAAGTGTAGTCTGAATCCGCAAAATGAAGGCTGCAGACGACACTGCTCGATGATTTGTCATTTGGGACAAAATCTTTTTTTGATATCGTCTTCAGCCACGCTTGGCGACGGTCATCGTTCGTAGGAAATTCATGAAAACTTATTCCGAGCTTTCTTTTCCTGTCCGACTTGCAGAAAGGCATGCTGCAATACATTCTTCTGAAAAAATACAGAAGCAGAGCGGACAGCGGTGTGTAATGCACGCCAGAAAACCGTGTAATTTTCACTCACAGCAAATAATGAGGCAGCGAAATTGCGATAGCTACGTAAGACCGCTAAGCACACCTGCAACATATACAAGATAGTAAACCAAGAGTCCAGAAAAAATTGTCGCTTCGTACGCGTGGTCGCTTCGTTCACGCGGAAGACTAGCTTAGAGCTTTCGACAATTGCAATCACCTGCCTATAAACAACACTTGAGCGCTTATCGATATTACGCTGCTCTCTCTCACTCTGTCTCGCACACACGCGCACGCACACACATTCAAAGCGCACGCGTGTGAACCTACACACACACACACATTAACACGCACCGCGGACCCACCCACATGCGCACGCACACACGCACGCACGCACGTGGGAACCTACACACACTCACATAAACACGCGCCGCGAACCCATTCACATACGCATGCACACACCCACACACACACACGCACGTGCCGCGCGAACCCCCACGCACACCACGTAACATTCACACGTGCGCAGCGAACGCCCACGCAAGCACACGCGCCGTGAAACAACACGCGCGCACACACTCACACACAAAATAGCCCAGCTCACTGTGGCCAAGTACTTTCGAAACAGCCGGCAAGGCATAACAAGGTGAACCGCCGTGATAGCTCATGAAAAGGCCGTAAAAGTGACAAAACAATTCAGCACTCTGGCATTCAATCTGCAGGAAATGCGAAAGGAGTTTGGGCTGCCTCATTCGATTCACGTAACCACACCGGCTGCAGCAAAACAAACTTTTTTAACGAAGTCTTTTAAAAAACGTACGTATCTTAACTTTGTACTGCTCGCAGGAACGAGTACAAACACATCGAGCGCATACTCAAGGTTTGTCTGCAGTGAAAACTCGACAACGAAGACTGGCGAACACCTGAAATTGCAGGCACTGTCGGTCAAATGAGCCTCGTTCATGGATGGATGGATATGGCTGTACCCTTTAGATCGGGCGGTGGCTAGCACCACTAAGCCGTAATACCTAATGAACCAAAAACTATATTTTTTTTCCTTAAAAAAAGAGTTTGAGGATTCGTACTTTGCAGTGAAGAGTTTATTTTCACTCGGGCCTTGACTTTAGCCACCAATCACATAACCTCCTTCTAGTTAAGTCTACCCGCTTAAAGTCTATTTTGGCCTCCCGGTCCTTAAACCCCAGTGCTTTGAAAAACTCTGTGCCATCATCCTGAACTATAGGTTGAAGCCCTTTACAGAACATTATCAAGTCTTCGGCAGTTTCTTCTTCCTCTCCACACGCACTGCATACTGTGTCTACCCCTTCGTATTTGGCCCGATATGTCTTGGTTCGCAGTACTCCCGTCCTGGCCTCAAACAGTAGAGAACTACCCCGAATATTATCATAGATCCTTTCCTTGGCAATTTCCTGCTTAAAAGTTGCATGCTGATGGTCGCTTTTTTCCAAGCTCACCGTGTACCCGCTCTTCAGCGATACGGTGGTCATTTAATTCTTCTAAATTTCGAGTTGTAAATCACTAAAGCTACAAAGTAAAGGCATTTATTGTTGTTTAGGGTTAAATAGTCTGCAGAAAGTATAGATTCACTTTCAAAATGAAAGTGCAGGACAGTGAAACATGAGCAATTGTTTTCACCATGCACGTACTCGAAGAAATCAACGCTAAAAAATATTCCCGCTATTTTAAATGAGTCTGAATTCATCACAACTTGGCATATACTACGCGAATAAACATTTGTGTTGAAGTATTACAAATGAAATTAGGACGTTCTCAGTATACTCGCAGCATTGCGAGTTAACCTGCAAGTTATGTCTGCCTCTGCAAATAACGTAGCTCATTAGACAGAAATCCGCCTTTGGAGGCAGGAGACTTTAGATGGATCTGTCTTTCATACACGATCACTTATTGTAGTGAGAAAAAAAGTAACGCTGCAAACCACAGAATGGTTTCCGGAACCCTGATCTCATGTACAGATTTCTTCTCATCAGTCGTCATGCAGGATTACGTAGCCGCATACACTAATTTACACGAACAGTTGACTAAATGTACCACCACGTCACTTCACGTAGGAGCACTGCTGATAGCAATCGTTCGCAATTAAAACAAACGCCAGAAAGTCGAAATGAACTGTTTCGATGGTGACGTTTTTTTCGTCGAGACAAGCCGGCGCGTGGTGAAAAAAACTGGGATCATGGCTGAAGAAGTGGCATGAAGTGTCTGAAAAAGCCTTGAATGTCAAGATTCCTTCCTCCGTGGAACATACTAAAGTCGGAAAAAAAACACGTTTCGGGTCGCGTGTTTGACAACCGTATGCTGGAGTACGCGCGCAAGGGAGACGCCCATGTCGTCTGCTACAGCGCTAATTGGCAGCGGCTACCATAAACGTCATTTCCGCTTAGAAGTGTGGCAGTTTGGGCCAAGGAGGTTATACTAGAACTTCTGGAGTGGCGGTCCCGCATACCCGCCCATGTATCGGAGTGAAGCCGCGGAAACCCGTCGGCGGCCATATTGCTCAGGGCAGAAGGAGGCGGCGACTGCCTTGTGCCGCCGTTGTGCCCCGTACGCTTGCAGCCGTGCCTTCTGTAATAGCAATGAAAGGGCCGCTTTATTTTTCTTAGGACGCGAGGGAACTTTGAAATGACTAATATACATCCTATTTATTTTTTTCTTGACACTTACACTGAGAGTTAAAGATGATGCGATAGGATATCAGTTTGTATTATATGTTTACACTGTTGTCTCACGGCAGAAGTACCGCTCGAGAAGATGCAACGAAAATAAAATTTAAGAGCGGGAGAAGTTGTAGAATGCTAGCTGGAGACGAAAACAAAATATGAAACCAATAACGCAATAAAGGAAACTGAAGGTTCACGGTACAACCATATTTATTCACTTGTCCACATTCAGCACCACGGTTACCGGCCGCGGCGGCCACTTTTCTAATGGAGGCAAAAAGCGAAAACGAGATTTCGGCGCAGGTTAATGATCCCCAGATGGTGAAAATTAATCCGGAGCCCTCCACTACGGCAAGGCTCATTGCTTGCAATGCGTCGGCCCGTTAAACCCTACAGTTAGTCACATTCAGCACCAGATGCATTTGACTAAACCAAACGTTAAATCTTCCAGCAAAAAATTAAAATTCTGACTAAAAGAACAAATGCATCAAACACTAACAGTGAGCTAAATTAAATAGAAAAACACATCAATCAAGTTCTCGCACTTAGAGATTTTTGAAAATAATCTCTCTTGTTAGCAGTGTGCGCACGTTTTTGTTACAGTTCTCCTGGTTCATTCTCCTAGAAATGTGATGAAGTCTTGTTCTGATGTACACGCTGGCAATTTTCTTCGATAAGCTATATATATGGTTATCAAGGGGTCACAGTCCAGCAGGTGAGGCTCCAGCTGCGCGAACAATGCTTTTTCAAACACTGCAGTCATCACATGTACCAAAAGGCTATCTGAGCTAGTATTAAGGGATTTCAAATTCTTGCATTCATGCTGTAGTACTCGCAGTCCCTTTTCTGCAATACTGCAGATCTCTAAGACGTCCTTGGATGGTGCGACAAGTCCACCTCTGTTTTTTGCTCTGACAAGGTCTGGTTCTTCGCTTGATTCCAGCGCAGCACAGCACTCCTCACAATTCGTGACAGACCGCACCTTGCGAGCCACAAATCCCGCTATATACGGCACAACAGCACTCGTCACCGCTGAAAGGCTCTGGGGAGATCCACACGATGAGTGTAGTCATGTTCATCATCCACAGGCTCCAGAAGCGACGACCTCCTGTGTGACGTAACTGCTGTTGGTGACTCGGCAAGACTGACAGCACTGGACATGTTCAGGATAGACACCACATCTCGGCAGCAGTTCCCAGCGTCAGACGATGTTACCTCTGTGTGGAAGGGGAGGCGCTTATAGGCGGCTCTGAACTGGCAGGCTGTGGGGTTGTTGTTGTATCCCCCCTTTCCCCTCACACAACCAAAAAACGTTTCCAAATGGTCTTGCGACATCTTGTGCGTCAACAGATACTTCAAAATTTTCGTGGCCACAAGGGCATCGAAAAGGGCAGTGACACTTCGAATGCAAATGATGAGGCCAACAAACCCAGTTTTTTTCAGTCCATCTATCACTGGTCGCCCACTTGCATCCTTCAGCCCCCTAATATACTCCTCGGCTTCGTGGAAGAACGATTTCTAAGAAGCTGCATTCTGCTGCCGCAGTGGGGCTTTGAATGATCGCGCCAGAGGGTTCCTCGAGTTCAGAATATCGAAGAGGCGATCAAAGATTCGAATGAACTCCGCTGTTGCGTGGGCACCTTGAAACTGGGGAAGCTTCAGTTTATACTCGCAGAAGTCCAGTGCATCAGCAACAGATGAGCTAAGGGTCTGCACAGCCAGTCGAACCTTCATTTTTTGCTTTGCCCACTCCAGATGAACTTTCGTCAGCTTGTTTCCAAGGTGCAAGCCCTCTTTTTGTTGCAAGGCCTCAAGAGCTTCAATGTATGACCACTTCACTTTGCGCCCTTGAATATCAGTGAGGTGGTTTACTGATCCCAAGCAGTTACGCACAAGCTTGATCATGTGGCAGGCATCTAGAATCACAAATACTTTGCTTGGGCAATCTTCTAAGCACTGGAATGAGGTGTTAAATCCCGGAGAACGACAGCGGAGATCAGCACCAAGAAAACTGGCCATTGAAAAGTTCGAGGCCGCTCCATCAAAAGTCAGTGATGCTGCTATGACACCTGCTGAAGTCACGCGCGAGATACACTCTTTCGTTAGCTGCGCTC